TATATATATATATAGCAACTTTCTCTAAATCACATTAACAAGGCGTTTTCATACACGTGATTCTTCTGCCAATTTGAATTTTTTTAATTTGTCAGATTTTCTACGTTTTTTATGCTTGAAACTATGTTGGAATCCGCTAATATTGTGATTTATATTCACACAATTTTAATATCAAACATCAACTTTTTTTATTACCAAATTTAAAAGTTACACAGTTCGAATAATATTACATGTGATTTAAAAATCGTATTTAGGATTTGTATTTGAGTGATTTAAAAATCCACTATCTCAATTCGTATCCGCACCATCTAAAAATCATGCATCGCGAATCGTATTTACATGATATAAAATTCAACATCGCGATTTTGTAGGGAGTTAAATTATAAATCTTAGTTAAAAAAATTGTATTAAATATGAATAATTTATAAATTGCTATCTTGTTATCTAGTTTTTGCACCTAAGATCTTCAGAGTTTTTCACTTAGTGTCAGAATCACCCCTGATAAAAGTTATAATACAAAGAAAAAAAATATTTTTAAGGGGAAGAAAAATTATTAATAAATAAAATGCTTTTAAAAAATATTTAAAAATTTAAAAAAGAACCAGAAAGAAAATTAAGGAATGGATATAATCTCATTATCAGTTAACATGATTATATACTTAAAAAAAGAGTGCTTCTTAATTTTGTATTAATGTATCCAAAGCAAAATATATCAATACAATAGGATAAGGAAAACCAAAAATATTGAAACGGAAATAGAACATATAAAATGCAAAATAAAACATATCAAGCAAAAAACAGAAAATAAAAATTCGTGAAAAATGCAGAATAAAGCAAAATGTATCCTATAAAGCGAGTATAATAATAAATATGTATCATATTTATATGTATAAAAATATTAAACAACTAAAATTAGCTTCTAACATTTATTTGATAAATAAGGGAGAAAGAAATGCATAAGCAAAATATGATCAACTATCTTTCTGAATACATTCATAAATCAAATTAGAACATGAAAATTTGGATAAATAATATTCATTTTATTACTTTTGCTATAGTTGCAAGTTTTTAGAGGAAGTAATTATATTTTTATTCACAGCATTAACCATCATTTGACCTACTTTTATGTCCTTCCACTTTGTAGAATGGCTAGTTTTAATATTTCATTATCCTTTCTTAACAAACAATGGGCACAATTTTCTTCTCCGATTAAACTATTTTTAGTCTTAATCAGCTCAGCTAACTTAGTCTTTATTTCATTATTTTTAAATAACATCAACACAAATGATGATGTGTCATTTTTAAATAGCGTGAATACTAATCGTGATTTACAATTTTTAAATCTTGTGAATACAAATCGCGATGTGTGGTTTTTAAATTGTAAGAGTACAAAGCATGGGAATATGATTTGTGTTGTGACTCTACTCTATACAAAAGATATAAGAAATACCAATTTCAGGGTCAAAAGCTTCTGAGAAGGAAGAGGAATAAAGAACTCTTCTTTAATACGGCAGAGACTCAGGGGTGTGACATCATACCCATAACTTCTGGCCCAGATACCCACTAAAACTCTTGAGTGTGTGACATTATACTCGTAACTTCCTATCCATCTTATAGCTCAACAAGAAATTGTATTTGAAAAGCAAAGGTATTTTAAAAGTTAGGCTTCCAAAATGACTAGTGGGTGTAATTTTCTAGGAGTCAAAGTTGAATTTTTAGATTAAAATTACGATTAACAAGCTCTTATTTTGAACCATGGTTTGTACAGTATTGATCTATTTAAACCAAAGAAAGTTGTTCATAATTAAGAGAGAAGTGCAAAAACTTTATATTGTCAAAAATCTTTGTTTTATTACACTAATTCTTAAAATATATTTAACCTGTTTATTGATAATAAAGAAAGGGCTCTTGTATAATTAATATTATTGTCTTTGTAGAAAATAAGTTTTATTTTTTTTCTGTGGTTTCTGATGTTTGAGCTTTACTTGTGGATATCCAGTTAATCATATTTGATAACTGTGATTTTAACTTATTTTATATGTATTTTATAATATTTATCTATATAAAATGTTAGAATCAGAAAAATTCTCTTCGGAACTAAATTACTATTTATAAAATATCATTTAGATCATATATTATAAAATTATTATTTACATCAAAAATGTTGCATCTCCTATTGAAGGTCACCCACCCCTAAATATTTGACGCTTTGTTTAAGGGATTATTTTATTAGTGAGGAAAGAATTAACTTCTTTCTATTTATGAATAAGACAAAAAAGTGTAAAGGACATAAATAATGTCACACCAAACTGTAATTTTTGTTTTATGATGAAGATCTTTTCTCAGTTTTGAAAAATAAAAAATTCAGAGGAAAACTAACAATTTATATCAAGGATAAAAAGAGGGATGAGAGACAGGAAATAAATTTGAACAAGATAATTAAATAAAAGAAGGGGAATAATAAACATGTGTTTTGAGGATGTTGTGGTGGAGTGAGAATCCTAGGTGTTGCAAGTTTAGAGGAAAATAGATATCAAAACATTAGGTAAGAATGTGAACAATGCATTGGAAAATGCATGCCTAAAGAATTTCATAGTTAAAAATATATTTGGGAGTTGATGAGAAAAGAAGGGAAAAAATGCCTAATCACCCAGGAACCGTCTTGATGATATTGGGTACTATGGATCTAGGAGAAAGAAAAATTATTAAATGACTGGACCACTGATTGAAAATGATGGATAGTTATTTTAAAAAGAACATTCCATTGCAGAAATAGTGAAAACATCTATCATTTTCTGATTCATACTAGGCTGTGAAGTGATGTAGAGAAACTTATGTACTTTTATGTTACTTATGTACTTTTATGTTAATCTATAATGGTATCTGCAATTTTTAAACAAACTTGTGTTAGAGATAATTTTAAATTTCCTAAATTTTGTAAACATTTTGTAAGAGCAAAATTGTATTATTCATTTCATACATCTTTGTAAAAATTAAACTTTTTAACCTAAATTTCCTAATTAAATTAAAATTTTATGTAGCTTCTAAATAATGTCATCCCTATTTAAGGGATGGACGGGTCTGGAAGATAACTGCTGTATTTTCTATTTTGCACATTTTCAAAGTTAGACTCTCTTTTTTATTTCAAATATGAGTGCAGAATAACCTCATTTTTTAAATACACTAATTGTTTAAAAACTAGCGAAAACTCTGAATAATTTATAACTTTGATAGAATTAATATTTATTGAAGCATATGAAATTAGAAGACAAGGTGAAAACTTGATTTCTGTATAATTTTAAAGCTTTTAAGATGTAGGTATTTCAATTTATGTTCATAATGATAATTAGCAATATAGACATTTAAAAAATATACCAGTTCATAGTGCATTATGTGCTTTTTCATGAAACCAGTATTATTACAGATACTCTCATTGCATTTTATTATTAAACAATGACATTCAGTTTTGTATTAACAAAATAATGTGGTATGAAAAGAAAACTCCATAAACATTATTATTTTAAATATTTTGCAAAGATTTTATTTCCTTGTTTATTATATTTTCAATTTATTTTTAAACATCATATGAGCATGCATACAGAAAGCCGCATTTAGGTGCTCATCTTTTCCCAAAGAGCAGTCTAATTTCTCTTATATTATTATGTAGGAAAACAGTGTATGGGGGAGTGGCCAGACAAACGTAATCATTTGCGAAAGCTTTGGGATTTTATTTACATTTTGAGGGAGAAATTTAAAATAACTTTCTGGAACTTTCTGGAAGGATGTTAAAATTTTCCCCTAACATTGAGAATATCTAAACTACATCATGGTGACTTATGGTTTTTATAAATTTTGACGAAAATATGAAAAATATAGTTTAAATGGGATTAAATTTTTTTTATGTATAAAATATATTACATTTACAGTGTTTTTAAAAGATGTATTATTTATGTATTACATATATATTGTATATTAAAACTTTGTATTTTATTTATGATTATGTTGACTTGTTGATGCCACTGCATTTTTTTAATTAAAAATTTTGCTTGTAATTGAAACTTACTTAGAAGTAGACTTACTAGATATTTACATAACATTTTAATGCTAGAATCCGGGTTTAATTTGCATAGGGATTTAGTCCCCTTACTTTTTTTATTCCAGTGAATTTTTACTTGTTAGATTGAACTCTGGGGATGAGGTATGTTCTGAAGAAAATTATGTATGTTCTGAAGAATATTAAAATATCTGCAAACTTTTATATCTTGTTTATATGTACCTGTTTAAAATTAACCTTTTTTTAAATCCATTTTTACAAAATTTGTATTGAACTTCTGTTTTCCTGGCATTTTATATGTTAAAATATTTTTCAAAGTGTTAATTGTACCTAAATTTAAGAATATGTGTTACATATCAAGCTAAAAATATGTACGCATTTTACACTTTGTCATTTTTTCAAAATTGGCTGGTATATATTATGGTTCCTGCACTTTTTTTCCCAGAAATTATGCCCTGAGTAGAAAATGTTTTCATATTTTTTGTTTCACTCTCACAGTTGTCTAAAAAGAAATAATGATTTCAAAACAAACTATATTTAAAAATCTTTCTATTTGAATACCTTTTTGTATTATATATTTTAAAGTATTCTGTTACCTTTAACTTCCTACAACCAGTATTCTCACTGGGTTCATGCTTACTTCGATTGAAGTAATTTATTTATTTATATTACACGTAAATTCTCTGTTGAATCTAACCTAACTTTCCTATTTGAATGCCTTTAAATTATCCTATCCTATGTGGAGATGGAAAAGTGCAAAAAATTTAGCTCATATGTAAGCTAATTTGAGTTTTTAAATTGCTTTCCTGTATGCGAAAAAAAATTGACTTCCTTTACTTTTTTAATGTTTAACTAATATAATAATTTTATCTATTTTCCTTTTTTTATCCTGAGATGTGTTTGTATATTTGTGCAGCTTTCTTTTGCTGGAAAAATATTCTTATTTCTCTTCCTTCCACTGGTTTGCAGCACTTGATTATTTTAGTTACCTACCTCGACAAATGTAATTGCACCAACAATAGCATTGTGTAAGAAACATTTGCAATCAATTAAGTGGCGCTTAAATTTCTTATATTTCATTGTTTTCTTTGCACTTATGACGCTTATTGACTAATTTTTGCCAGGTTTTATCTCACATCATCAAGATGCTCTTGATTAAGTTTCTTCTAAATGTAATCAGGCAAGTCTAAGAAAAGTCATGTTTGTTAGCTGTATGGAATATCTTTGTTGTATAAGGTAAAGTCATAATCTTTTCTAGGATCTAGTTCCTGTAAAATCTGGTCATCTTCTATCCTAATGATAGATATCCTCTTGTTTGTACTAGTTAACTAATTTTAACATCGCACTGCACTATACAAAATAGTATTCCTCACTTATAGTCTTATCACAGATTTATGTGTAGTATCCTGAATGAGATAGTGTCAAAAGTTTTCTTCCTTATTCTCTCATATAACAAGTACTCACTTGCACCTCTGATCTGTGTCCTTTCACTAAATTAATAGACACTGCTAACTTGTGTTGTTAATAGGATATTGCAATCATCACCTATGACTTCTTTTGTGCAATGTTGCTCTCTTTATCACTACTGCATGATGAGATAACTTTTCTCACTTTTAATGTGCTCTGTTACTTATTAAACAATGTTTGCCTAATCTAATAACAAAATGGTTATTTCATTGTAATTCAGTAGAACTCCCATTTTTTGAATGATTGGTTCTAAACTCTATGTTAATAAAATGTTTGGTTGTTTAGATAATTGCAAAAAGGGTATTTTTTAGAAAAAAAGCAGCAACTACTGCTTATAAAGTATTAATTTAATAAAGATGTCATTTATATCTGAAAAATACTTCAGTTACTTTTGGGTCTGCTAATAACTTTTTATAACATATACCTAATCTGCCCATACTGCACTTTGTATGTGCTTGTGCTTTGAAATTTCATAATCAGCTATTACTTACTCAAAGCTTTTTGATAATTTCTAATCTAGGTAACTATAGTGTAGATAATTGGAGTTCCAATGTATTAAGAGTTTTGTTTGTTAGCCATTTACAATTATATATTTTTAATGAAAGTAGAAACTTTTGGGATTTTATTATTAAGTTAATAAATAGTTAAACTGATATCTAAATGCTTGATTAAGACAATCAAAAGTTGTTTGGCAAAATGATCACAAGTAATAAAAATATTTCATGTTTCTGCATTTATTCAGAAAAAATTCAGTTTAATAATGTGGAGTACTTTTCCAAAACAATATCTCTTGTTTGCTGTAGAATTTAATTATTCACTAAATTTGCTGTCTGATAATTTTGTGACTTACGAAATATTATTAGTTTTTTTCGCAAATTTTTTAGAAAGATTATTTATTATGAGTAAAAGAACTGAAATTAATAAAAATTGAAAGATAATAAAAAGTTATTTTTTTTATTGTGTTGAAAGGTTCTTTAGCCTTATTCTAAAACATTTATGACTGTATAAAGTATTTCTTACAGCTTTTTTTTAATTTTTAATATTTTATAAAAAAACAGACTTATTTAAATGATAAGGCATACTAATTTTTATTATTTGTTTTAGGTGCAATTTCTGTAGTTTTAGATAGTTTAGACACAATACAGTGTTTATCAGATAGTTCTATTAAAGACAAGGAATTTCTTTTATCTATTTTAGATGATACTAAGCTGCACACTTTGCTGAATGTAAGTATGAAAGTTGTTTTTATTTATTTTTACAAAATAATAATATTTTGTTCAGAATATTTATTTTTTGTAACGAAACCTGCATACTCTATTAAAAATTATTGTAAATGTTATATTTAAAATGATTTACAACATTGTAATAACAATGAAATGTTACTTTGGTTATGATAGCGGAAGATACTTCGAATTTTAAAATAATTTGTTTACTTTATTTTTATTTTCAAGTTATTTATCTAACATAATATTTAATGAGAATAATTCATATATGTTCAGCTTTAATATCTATACTATATTAGATAAGTTTAAGATTTAAATTTATTTATTAATTGCACAAATTATTAGTTAAAAAAAATTGTTTTAAATCAAGGAAAAAAATCCAAATCTTTTATACAACTATATGATTCTTTTTTATAGCTGAGTAATTTCACAAAATATAAATTAATGTACTGTAGTTTTCATTGATTGAAGATAACTCTGTATGCTTTTGCATTTAAGCATTATTAAATACAGTCTTCCATTTATATAACCTTTCCAAATTTTAACTAAATATGCATCATTTTTTTAAATAACTACTTTGAAAAATTTAAGCTATAAAAAGCAAGTTTATTTGTGATTCATTAATTTAAAGTTACAGGACTCATTTACAAAACCATAAGATGTTTTTCCTTAAAACTGAGAAGTATACAGTATTGATTTTGAATTTAAAAGCAAATGCCAAAAAAGTTATGTTGGATTTACAATTATAATTGTTTTGAAGAAAATTTTTGTAGTTAAATATGGTATTTTTAGTATCTCGAGTGATATGATATATATAGTATAGAACCACTCATCCGGGATGCTCGGGACCATCGCTATCCCGGATGTCTGAATTTTCCAGTTTTCTGGATCGGCTAAAAAAGTGTTGTTAATCAATGTTTTATTGAACCCAAAATACAATAAAATACAGTAACACGTTTAAAAATCAGGAAGAAAAAAGGATAGCTCTCCTAAATTAAAAAAAAAAAGTCATTTAAAAGAATAAGAACATTTACAAGTTAAGAATAAGAACATTTACAAGAAAAACAAGTTTAAAAAATAAATTCACATATTTATTTTTTGAGAATTAATTTAAATTACCAAATTAACTAATATAAAACAAAACCAATGATTAAAAAAGGAAAAGACCTAAGGAAAAGAAAAGATAAAATAAAAGGAAAACTTATTACTCTAAATAAAAACAACACTTAAAAATTACCAAATAGAAACAATAGTTAAAAAAGGCACTATCATAAATATTACAATCCCGTACAAGGCAAGATATTATAAGACCAACTGAATTTAAAAAAAAAACTTAATTTATGAATAAAAAGAACTAACTTATAGAGCATGAAATTTATTGTGAATGGTGGAAAAGAAAAAAAAATCCAAGACATTGTGGAATTAAATTTGTATAATTTTTAAAAAAAGAAAGCTGCAATCTTCTTGATAAAATAGTCGTCTGCTAGTGGTAATAAATAATTGTATGCTTAGATTAATAAATAATCTTCTCCTTTTATTTTATAAAAGCAGACGATTTGGAACAAAATGAGATGGAATAAAAACTTGCAAATGATACCGCACTTTGAAAGAATCAGAATTTATTCAATTGAAAAATATTGTTTTGTTACGTTTCGTTAAGTTTTCTCTCCACAAACAGGGAGAAAAAGTCCCCCTCCCCCACATTTTCCTCTACTCGGCGTCAAGGATGAGACAAATTTCCGCTTTTTTCTTCAATCGTTCTAGTTCAAAATGGCAGGAAAATCGAGCAAAATTTTTCCCGGTTTTTTGGATTTGAGATAAATAGTTCTATACTGTAATAATTATTTATATAAATCTTACATAAGTATACATTTTTATCCTAAAATATAAATGTTTTTTTTACTGTTAGGTTTATTATACCAATTTTATATAACATGCCAATGGCAGGTCATAAGTTCTAGTTCCTATTTTTAGCCTTTTATTAAATCTTCAAAAATGACATTCATGGGCTAGTTCTCTTTAGCTAATGTCTGTATTCATTGATCACACAAGTACTACACTGTGCAAGCATATACTATTTATTAGAATTATGAATTATTTTGGAATCATTTTCAAGTTAGGAAATATTTTGTTAATAGGAAGTTTTGTTGCTGCTTTTTAAATTCTTAAATTTTTGTAATTGCATAATAAATCCATTTTAGTTCTTCAAAACTTATTACAACTTTAAATTTTTTTGTCTTTTTTTATTTTCTTAATATGAGAATAATTTAAGAAATACAAAACCAAAAAAAAAAAAAAAAAAAAAAGGAAAANAAAAAAAAAAAAAAAAAAAAAAAAAAAAAAAAGGTATATTTTTAACAATACCTTAGTGAGATTTATTTTAACTCATATGATTTGATTTAACATACATTTGACCATTTTGTTTTATCAATGTTATTTTTCTTTTTCAATCTTAAATAATTTATTTAGATTAATGCAATTGTTAGTTGCTTTCACTACTTTTTTTTTATATATATATATATATTGCTTTTCACTGATTTGTAATAAACATAGAATATTTCATTAAAGATTCAAGTTGTAATACTTAGGTTCTTTATAATTTTTGTGAGATTTGTTCACTGTTTTAACACAAAAAAATATTTTTAATTTTTAAAATTATTTTTTTTCCTTCTCAAAATTTTAGTGCTTAGTTTAATATATTATCAGTTATTTTTACTGCTGTCTATTTTCCATTTCCTCAATTATGTATTGTTACAAATTTGAAATATATGACATTATAATAACTCAGGTGGTTTAAGTAATTTTCTTTTTCCCAGGAATTAAACTCTCATTGCAATTTTTCATTGAATAAAGGTAAATTTTCCTGCAAATTGAAGTCAATTTTTTGTTCAAACAAGTAGAAATTTTCTTCTTTCTGCTTCCTCATTATTTTTAATTGTATTTCTTAGAATATTCCATTCAAAGAAAATGTTTAAAATTAGTGTTGTAGTCTGGCAGTCAGATATGTACAGTGGAAAGTCGCATATCCGGAATCGGCGGGACTTCCCGAAGTCCGTATATTTGATTTTTCCGTATAATTGACCTCCAAGGTAAACAAAGCTTAAAATGATCTGAATCTAAGAAGCAGAAAATAAATAAACATTATTTTTCGGGCAATAATGTTTTAGTATTAGAATGATATCTAATCAATCATAAACAAAATATTAGAAAAAAAATAATTATTGCTATTCTAAAAATAAATATAGAAAACGAAAAAAATTCCCAGTTATGAAAATATTAATTGCTCTCTCCACCATTTTGAACTAGAACGATTCAAGCAAGAAGGGGAAATTCCCGTCATTCA